CTGTATCGTGGACAATTAAGTTGCAAGCTTTGTACATACATGCGTGTTACAAGGATGCGCGCGTGCGCTCTCTCTCTCTCTCTCTCTCTCACACACACACACACACACACACACACACACACACACACACCAGCAGGAAAAATGCAAAATATAAAACAGCACAAGCAGCACAAGCAAACAGCAATGGGGAACTTAATTGGTAGCTTCAGGCTTGTGTTACAACCCTAGCCAGGGATAATATATCTTTAAGCACTTGTAATCTTTTGAAATTCCCCTCAGCCAAGCCTGGGAAGAGGACATGAAGATTACCAAAAGAGCAGGGAGGGGAAGCAACTTGACGGAGGACTTTGCCAGACGGCACTTTCAGGGACTAATGGATTTCTAATGTTTATATTCTTTATATACAAACCTGCTTTATAAATGATCCTGGCATTATAGCTGTAAAACAAAGTCATAAAAACAGCCTGCAGCTCAAGCAAAGAGCATAAATGCCTTTTTCTTCAGGCAGATGAAGGAGAGGCAGAGCGGGGGAGCAATCAATATTTATGTGCCTTATCTGAGTTTCTAAGGTGCAGTCAGGGAGATGGTACATAGACTTAGGAATGTTACGGGGGGGGGGGGGGGAGAGAGGCAGGGGCTGAGGTTCTTCCTCTTCTCTCCCCTCCCATTGATAGGTTCCTGTTGCATGTCCAGGAGCACAGGAGTGGGCAGCTTTTGGACCTCTACCCGTAAATGTCGCTGAAGAACATCTCCCCTCACTGCTTGCCATGTGTTTATTTCCCACTAGGTTTGGTGGAATTGCTCTAGTAGAGCAAAAGAAGCAGAAACAGCCCTGTTGGTAATGGAACAAGTTTTAAAATCTATTCTGAAGTAATATTTTGATCAGGCCAACCGAAACAGCACAGGGTGTCACAAAAGTAGGTAATGAATCTGCCCACCGAAAAATCTGGAAGGGAATTATTTGAGGTCTGATTTTTGAGATTTGATTCTTCTATTGCTCTCCTGCTTGCCAACATTTGGGGTCCAGAACTCTACAGGAGCCTCCAGAGGATGGTGCCATCAAGGCCTACAAATAAAGTGATGATAGGGCCATCGGAACATCAGACTGGGCATAGGTGAGAATTTTGTTTGGATAATGTTTTGACAGGAACTTTCTGAAGTTCCCAGTGTTTGAGATATGAGACTTTGAGTTGGGCACTTTGAAACATGATTCTGACATGTGCCAGGAGTTTGGGAGAGAAGCAAAATATTTCAGGACAGTTATTTTGGGGCTTTCTTCAAGGATTTTTAAAAAATAATCTGTTGGAATTTCAGAGAGAGTAATCTTTTAAGCACAATGACTGGCATAAGAGATAACTTATCTCTGAGATTCCTGCAGGCTCTTCTAATATGACCCCCTTATATTTTGAATATATTTTGAAATAAAAGGAATCTTTTTTTCTTTTTGCAGAGTAGCAAGACAGTTTCTTACTTTATTGTGGATTGTCAGGAGATGCAATCCAGTTTTGTTCACATTCATTAAAACAACAAAACCCAAAACTCAGCAACTTACTGTGTCTTCCCCATCTTCAGATGCTCTTCTCAATATTGGACCAGGGAATTCTGATGGCTCTGACATTTTGCAGACTTGAAAGCCAGACACCCTCTCTGCTAGCTTTTTTTTTAAAGAATGGCTTTTGTTCAAAACCCAGAGAAGAGGCTAACAAAGAGAACAATTTGTAATCACCACACTGCTGTGTTTAGCTGAGGGACCTGCACGACAGGCCATTTTATTCTTAATAGTGATCTTAATGTGAACGTTTTCAATTTTAGTTCCAAAAATAAAAGGTCCATTCATCATCAAACACATCCATCCTGTCTGCACCCTGACTTCCTACCTCTTCTGCTCCCACTCTGGGATGCTCCTGGGTAGCCAGCTAACTGCTTTGGACAGCAGCTGTGCTACATCTTGCCAGGGGGTCATTGTGTGTCCCAATTATTCTGCATCCCTGTGCAATTGGTTGGGTGCTGAGAAAATTACAGACCTGCAAATGAAATTAGGGAGGGCAAGTCTGGCGGCAACAGAGAGGAGGAGGAGACCAGAGAGTTTGAAAGAAACAGAGACCGAAGCACACACAGAGAGAGAGAGAGAGACAGAGAGAGAGAGAGAGAGAGAAATTAGCCTGAAGTTTAATTTGGTGTTTCCAAAAGAGCAGTTAATGGATTATGACAAATGTCCTATTGCTTTCTCTGGTGCTGTGTTGAGATGCAAATGGAAAGTCAATTTTCCTAAATGGATTTTAAATGGCTGTGTGAGTGTGTGTGAGAGAGAGCAGGAGAGTGAGAGACAGAGAAATTTGGGGCATGTAGTTCCACTGGGCACCTGCTCAAGAGTCAACACAATGTGGGATCTGTTTCCTAAAGAACTTGAAAGGCAGGGCCAGGATTATGTGGTTTGTGGTCGATTCTGGCAGATTAAGCTTTGCTGCTGTTTTCTTTGGGTTGTTGTAATGCATACTTTAGTCTGGAATGCTGGAGGTACTGTACTGAGATGTACCGCCAAGTTTTCTGCTGCAAATGAATAGCCATTGAACATGGTGTTGGTTAGGGGGGCCTTGTTGCACTGATCATGCTGGCTGGGGAATTCTGGGAGTTGTGGTCAAAAAAAAGAGAGGAATGTTTCCCAACTCTTTGGAGGATATTCCTTGGGCTTTAGCACAGCAGAAAACATGCTCTGTATCTTTCCACCCAAATGGCTTGCTGAGGGCATGTCCAGAAAATGAGTTTGCTTGTTTTCCTCCAACTGCTTGAGCACCTTCCTCCCTTCAGAGCTCAAAGGCAGATACTGCCCTGGATGTCCTGTGACTCCTGTGGCCTGCCAGCCTTGCGTGAGTGTGTTTTTTTAAATCAGGCAGCTGTCAATCTAAGCTGTCAGAGTGTAATCAGGCTCTCTGTTATATTTCTCAAAGTCTGCAAATATTTGAGTGTAATAATTATATTAAGCACCTGCTTGGCACTTCAGAACTTTCAGGGTACTCTGTAGGCTGAATAATCATTACAGCAATAATGCAGGATAGCATTCCCAGAGTGTTGCTGAGAGGGAGCCTGAGGTTAAACAAGCAGGTCTTACCTGCTGCTGCCTGTAGAGCACAGGGTCCCAACCTATGCGTCACAACCTTCAAGGGGTCGCAAAGCATTTTCTAGGAGATTACCATAGTTTTCAGAGGAGGGGGACACGTTGCCCTCAAGATGCAGGCCCCCTTCCTAGTTCCCTTCTGCATGTACCCCAACTCCTCCCTTGCTTATACCTCCCAAACCAAGCTCTCTTTGCTCCCTGCTGTGGGGCACTGATGATGGCTCCTCCTTGGCTCTGGTGACTGCCTAGCTGGCTGGCTAGCTAGGGACTGGGAAAGAGAAGAGCAAGAGGTGGGACCCAGTTGCAGCCCCTGCAAGCCAGGCTGGTCATGACGGGGGTGGGTGGGTTGAGAGGCAAAGAGGCAGCAGCAAGCTGAAGGACGAGGGGGACAAATGGTGGTGGAAGAAGAAAAGGCTGCTGCCAATGCCGCCAAAGTGATTTTGCCCCCTTCTTGCCTCAGCCACCCACTGCCGCCACCGCCATCTTAGAGAAGACAGCTGAGGTGGCGGCGGCAGGGGTAGCTGCAGAGTCACTTCTTGAAGAGAGGACAAAAAAGGCGATGGTTCCCTTCCTGAGGAAAAACTCCCTTCCCCCAATGAGCCTCAAATTTAACCCACCCTCGTTACCTCCATATCCCAGAGCATTTTAAGTGTGTGTGTGTGTGGGGGAGAGATGAAACACAAACGCTCAGCTGTGAAGTTTGAAACTAGTTGCCCAGATGCCACCGCATTAAATTTTAGGTTAGAATTATATTCTAGAAAATGCATTTTAATGTGTTTTCTGTACCTCATTTAAATGCCTTTTTATGCAAATGTGGTAGGGAGTCACAGGTTATTTGGGAATTGTGACTTGAAAAAGGTTGGGAAACACTGCTGTAGAGCATGTGACTGAACCGGAGGCTCCAGGTTCAGACTGTAAGCTATTCGGTTATAGTTGTTTCTGTCACTTGCTCATAAGAGAGCTCCATTTAAACCAGGGTGATTTACTTCTGAGTAAGCACCCTCAAAACTGGAGTTCAAGAATCAATTTTCTAACTGCTGGTTTTGAAAAAAAATAGTCCATTGAGGAATGTAGTTCCTTGCTTCCATGTTTTTAAAGGAATAGTACCCAAGTCAAAGAAGATGGTAGTGGCAATTATTTGAGATGCAGTGATCTTAGCTCAATAAACCATGGTTTATGGGACTGTGATTGAGATTAAATTTCTCTCTGAACCAAGAAACATTGGCTAACTTTGGCTAATTATACAGAGATAATGCAAACATTGAAGAGCATGAAGGGAGATGGAACACATGTTCTGGCCCACCTCAGTCCCCTACTTTGGTGAGGAAGGTTTGTAAAGGAGCTGTTCAAAGGAGCATCTTTCCATCATTCCATAAGACAAGAAATCCTGATGATTCAGAGCTCCTAAGTTTCATGGAGCACCAGAAGTGTGCTTCGTTCAATGTACTTATTCTGTCTTTGCAGTCCATCCTTGTCAATGTGGAGAAGGTGGGGGCTGAGGACAATGTCTCCAGCTCCTTCCACATTTGTTACAGCAAAGCCTTCTTTAGCAGATGCCTCCAAGAGGGTTATAGTTCCAGCCAGAGCTTATAAAAATAAGTATTTATCTAAAAAGTAGCTTTTCCAAGCTCTGGTTATAACCCATTTGGGCCAGTGATGGAAAATGTATCAATTAAGTCATGGAGATAATTTAGAATACAAAAAAATACTGATTTTTCTGACTCTGCAAGGAAATGTACAACTGATAAGGAGTCAAAACTTATGGAAATAAAGCAGGCAGCTGTGTGCTATCCATTCTTTTAAAACCAAGAATTCGTATTACAAGGTCTACTGGAATTATGTAGAGCTAATTGTCCTCATACACCTCTTCCTCTTTCTGTTGCAGGGATTGAGTACGGAGAGGTGCTCCCGGATTCTTTCCCATCAGCCCCTGCAGAGAGCCTTCCCCATTTCCTCTTGGAGCCACAGGATGCCTACATTGTGAAGAACAAGCCAGTGGAACTTGTCTGCAGGGCTAATCCAGCTACCCAGATCTATTTCAAGTGCAACGGCGAGTGGGTGAATCAGAACGATCATCTCACCACAGAGAGCTTGGACGAGGTTACCGGTGAGAAGCCTTTGAGCGCTGGACCAACTTGTATTCCATTTTCCTGGTTTCTAAGTCAGTTCGCAGTATCATATTGTCCTCGATGGAAATGGCTCCCAGGCATATTCCCACTGAGACATATGCTGCAGGATGTGTCCCAAATGTTAAATAACACAGATATATTTAAAAGACTTTGTTTTCTCATCTTCTGATAACAGGGAATTGAAACTGACAGATCTGGCAAGACGAAAGTTCTCTCAGTCTGCGTCTTATCCAGTGGACTTTGGGAAATGTACTCAAAGAGGGGAGGGTGTAAGGATATAGTAACCCCATCATTCTTCCTAAGTCCATGTATTAATCTCTAATTTTTTAATAATTCATTTTTAAACAATAATTACGGACATTATAACACTAATATACACAAACAAAATGAAGGCGTATGCCATGCACATTATGCATGTTATTATTTTTTTATTATACATTTGTCTAATCTTCAATATGGCAATACAGATAAATATTAATTGCCAGTTATAAACATTATGGCTGAGGAAGTCTGTCTACAAGGAACAAAGACTACTAGGCAGATAAAATTGGGTGTACCCTTTATTGATAACAAGAGAAATCAAAACCATGTGACCAAGTATAACTCCTGTTTTACTGTTCCAATAGTTAGTCTGTTGTGGATTTCCCTCCCCCCCATGTCTTTGAAAGTTAGTTTTTTAAAAATTATCAATTCCCGTTACTCATTTACAGTATTTGAAAAGTGGCTTATTATCATTACTTTAAAAAGGTAAGTTATAAAAAAGCAGCTTAGTTTGCTACTTATTCATGCCGCATGTTATTTTTCATTACACTTCATTATTTGGGGGGCGGGGAAAGGAACCTTAGGATTGATAAGAGAATGGTGCAAAATCGGGAGGAATCCTGTCAAAAGCCTTTAAATGCCTTAACATGCCTTTTAAAGGTAACTTTTGAGAGTAAGGCCTTTGGACCTTGCTCCTTAGAACCTGCATCCGGCATGGCTAATGGTCAGGAATTCTGGGAACTGTAGTCAAAAACATCTGGAAAGTCAACTTTTAAAAGCCATTGAACCAGCAGCATGTAGCTTGTTACAGCTCAGTAGTTTAAGTATCTGGCTGAAGAGCCAGAGGTTGGGAGTTTGATTCCCCACCATGCCTCCCATGTGCAGACCCAGCCTGTGTGGCCTTGGGCAAGCTGCAGAGTCCCAGGGCAACCCCAGAAGAAAGAAATGGTAAACCATTTCTGAGTATTCTCTACCTATAAAAGGGTCACCAGGAGTCAGAATTGACTTGATGGCAAACGATGAGGATTATATTATACAGCAATGAAGCAAATTCATCCCTACTTACTAAGTTGTTTTGTTACCGCTAAAAAGTAATTAGCTTCAGGTAGTTACATGATTTGTAACTTGTTACTTCCAGACTTTGATTCTCCTATGAATTTTTCAGTAAAGGCTAACTATCAAATTCTCAAGAATGAATTTTCAGATAAGCTCTGAGTTGACTGAACAACCCTACAGGAAAACTTGTATTTCAATATGCATTTTTTAAAAAATATATTTTCTTACAAAGAGCATATTTTCAAATATATTGCAGAATATTCATTTCCAAATTTATCCTTAAAATGTATGTTTTGGTATTTTTTTTAGCCAAGAGCTGCATCACAATGTTTGAGGAAGTGTACAGTCTTAAGGCTTCTTAATATGTTGCACTCTGCACCTTTGTTTAGTAGCGGGATGCAGCCCAGATCCTCTGCCTAACTCCCTTCTTCGGGCAAAATTTTAAAAAAAGAGTGAGCTGCCATTCCTGGAGCAGCAGTGAGTCACCTTCTAAATAGGTCACAGCCAGAGCTGCAACTAGACATCTTGGCATCTGAGACAAATGGCAGCATTTCCCACCCACTTGGCCTTGAGACATGGGCACAAGCCTTCACTGAGAAAAGAGGAAGAGAATGTGGGTCCCCTGTTTCCCCCCCCCCAAGGCCCAAGGAAGTTCCTATTTTTCAGGGGAGGGGGAAGAAAGAAAGTGAATAGAGCTAGAAAGAGTTGCTATTTATTTTCCTAACATTCACCAGCAGATTCACCTCTAGATTTCAGGACCTCTAAATGGAGGGGTGTGTGTGTTTCAGCATTATTTAATATCCTAAAATATCCTTTCTTCTAACCAGACACGAGCTTCTAGCTACCATTCTTTCAGTTATTGTGGGGTTTTTTTTAAAAAAATCTTTTGGAGTTCACATTTTTGGTACGCCGTGAGTCCCCCGGAGAATCCTGGAGGTAAAAAAATTAGCCCTCAGACCCACTGAAGTTGCTCACCTTGGACTTGGAAGGTATGAACAGGCTGCTATGTTTTAAAACTTCACACAGGATATGTTCCACAGGCTTCTGTAAAGTTATCAAGGACGGGTCCTTGATAACACTGTTCATCATATAATGAAGTGCGACATCTTTTGAGGAGGTATGGTGTCCACGTAGCTGTTCTGTCCACCTAGCATTTTGTTCTAGCTATAACCTGCAGGATATGCTGATATATATATAATAGAACAGATTACTACTTGCATTTTAGTCTGTAATTAAAAGTTGCCAGCGAAGTGCTTCAGAAGAGATTCTTAAGAAGAAGATAAATCTAAGAGCAAGGAAGGTTACTTTCTGTCATGTATCAGAAATTTGCTATGAACAAGAAAACAAACAGCAGAGATTTTTTTTCCGTGACAAGAGGTTAACCGTAGGGAGTCTCTAAAAATCTGGTCTGAAAGTTTGGTTTTCTGTTGAAAATACCTTTAGAAATGTTCAAGGATTTTACCATTCTCCATAAACTGCCTTCTATTGCGTTTATGAATGAAGCGAGTCCCCCTAAGTAAATGATTTATAGATTGGGTAAAACCTGCTTTTAGAGCAGCAGTGGGGAACCTGTGGCCCTCCCAACTTACTGGATTCCAGTTCCCGTAAGCCCTAGTTAATATGCCCAGTGGTCAAGGATGATGGGAAGTGTAGTTCAGGAGAACAGAAAGACCACAAGTTTCAAGCCCTGTGTTCGGGGACTTGCAGGGAAAATGTTTATCTTGACTTTTGAAAAATGATCCGTGGTATGAATTAGGCCTTTTCCTTTCTCCCCAACCCTTCCCCCCTTTCATTAGTGGGAAGTAGCTGCAGGCTATATAACTACTACCAACAGGCAACAGAGATCCTTTCCCTCTCTCTCTTTCTCCCACATTCGCTAATTTCAGTTCTCCCTCTTTTAAAAAAATTAAATACAGTATGAATATATAGCTATAATTAAAGCTTCCATCAAATAAGTCCATGCTGCACTATTGAACTCCCGCAAAAGTCCATATTAAATGCCTTCGAGAACTAAATTATTTAATTAGGATAGAAGTTGCCAGCAGAAAATAGCAAATGGTATTGCAACAGGCACGAGGCTTTAACGTCCCAGGGGACTACTTGCCACAGATTCTTGCAGTCCCAACAGTGTCACTGTCACATCAGCTAAATGAGCTAGACACGTTAGGAAGTGATTGAGAGCAGCAGTGCAGCAAAGGGTGGAGGCGGGGAGGGATTGACTTGGTGCCTGTAGGGAGGGAGCCATACCAAGACCTATAGGTGGGACTGTACCATATAGTATGATGTAGCATCGCTGTAGCCAATACTTTGGTAGGTGAGTCCCAACAGTGTCACTGTCACATCAGCTAAATGAGCTAGACACGTTAGGAAGTGATTGAGAGCAGCAGTGCAGCAAAGGGTGGAGGCGGGGAGGGATTGACTTGGTGCCTGTAGGGAGGGAGCCATACCAAGACCTATAGGTGGGACTGTACCATATAGTATGATGTAGCATCGCTGTAGCCAATACTTTGGTAAGTGGAGTAAAAGAGAGAGAGAGAAGACTGTCAGATGGAGAAGAACACATTATACTCGCATAACAACCCTTTTTGATTTTTATTCAGAATTCAAAAAAGGGCTTCATTATCCCCAGAGAAGCAAGCATTGATTTTACTTGGCACTGGGTGGCCAAGAGAAGTGCATGCCTGTATCCCTCCCACACTTCCTTCGTTCTCAGCATGACCAACCATTATTCCTTGCCTCCAACTCTCTACTTTACGCAATACATTTGCCTCCTTAGTCACTCGCGCCTTGTCCCTGCAGTCTCTCCCACTCCCTTTTTATTAATGTCATTTGTTCCATTCATACCCTTGTCACTCCTTCTAATAGCTCTAAGGGGTGTACATGGTTAATTCTCTTCCTGGCCCTCTAATTTACTGCAGTCCAAGTCAGGTAGTTTAGGCTGAGAGAGAGTGACTGGCTCAAGACAAACTTTATAGCTCCAGAGATGGTTTAAACCCATGTCTCTTAAATCTTCATCCTTTTGTACCTCCCTCTGCCTAGCATTTGAGAACTGGACTAGCGGCTAAGTCTCTAAGCCTCCTTGGTACATTTGTAGATACAGCACAGCTAGTGGATTCAGAGCTTTAAAAAAGGAATAATGGTACTGAAGAGTGTGGACAAATGTACCATTCACCCACAGATTGAGCTAGTCATGATAGTGTGGAATTGGGGCAGATACAGTAAACAATAAGGAAAGAGATGCCAGAGTCTGATTTTTATTAACAAGATGGTAGCCTCCCAGAATGTGGTAGGACATGGAAGCCAGGCCAGAGTCTGATTTTTATTAACAAGATGGCAGCCTCCCAGGCTTATAGAATGTGGTAGGACATGGAAGCCAATTCCTAGAGTCAAATTCCTTTTCTGTCCCTTACTTACTTTATTCATTAAAGCAACAGCCATCTTTACTGAGGGCATAAATTTGTTCTGTTCCATTGCATATCTGTAGTAGCATTATTAGTTGTTGGATTTTTTTTAGCAGTGGTAAGGGGATTCTCCAGAGGTATTTTTTTTTGGGAGGGGGGCGCACATTAACATAATAAAAAAGGCAAGAAATGCAGTTGCTGTAACAGCGGCTGAATCTGTGCTGCTCTTCATTTGTAGACAATTGGCAATGAGGTTTTACTATATTAAGGCAATAAGATTAAAGCACATGCTTATGTGCCTTGCTGAATTGAGGCTGTGATTTTTAATGTGGCAGTGAAGCGATTAAGGTTACACTAAAACAGAAGGAGTAATGGGGTAAAGCTTTGCCAGTAGTAATAGTAGCTTCTTGGTAAAACGGCTGAACGTTGGTAATGGCCCTATCAGAGTTACCACCCTTGGGTGGCTCTTGTGCTCTACCACCAAGGGGGAAACTCATTTAACCAAACACAGCCTTTCTTTCCCCATTTGATGTTTTTCCTCTTTAATGGGTTTTTATTTACTTATTTGCTGACACTGTATTCGGTTCTTAATGGTCTACGATTCCCACCTTCTGTTTTGCCTCTTTCTTTCTTTTCAGTCTCACGTCTGTTTCCCCCTCCCTTCAGACACAGTTTCATTTCCCTCTCTTGTAAAAGCCTATTGTAAAAATACCTTTGGGAGCAGGTGAGATTTGTTTCTGCACAAAACAGGTTTGAAGGAGGTAGGTTTTCAAGATGTTGAACTTGTTCACGAGAAAACTGTACAGTTTAAAGGGGGAGTGCCCTTCATGGCATTTGGCTTTCTCTTGGACTGCATGTGCCTCCTGGACAGTTCAAGTGAGGGAAGGAGCAGGAGAGAGTCCAACACAGCCTTCCACGCTGGCTGTGGGTGGTGGGAGTTGCCATCTAAAGGAGATGGGATCTCCATTTGGAGGGGATCAGGATGAGAAAGCTAGGGTAGTGCTTGAGATCATAGATATTCTGCCAGGCCACTGGCAAATTGCACTCTGTGTCTCCTGAAAACAACATGGTGGGATGGGGGACCCTATCCACAGAGCGTCCATCAGCCAGTGAAGGAACTGCTCTGGCCCTTGCTTTTCTCTTCTGCCCTCATTTCTTGTTTCTTTTTATGTCATGTGTACTTGATTTCAGGTCTGTGGCTGAGGACTGCCTCTTGGTGTGTGTTTTTTTAAATTTATTTTAATGTCTGTGTAGTGCTTTAGGCTAATATTGATGACAACAACAAGAATAACAATGACATTATTAGTCTTATACTTATCATGAAGAGTGCTGGGGCTTGTGGCAGTTCCATTGCTTGATGCAGGCTTGTATGCTGGATTAATCACAAGCTACTTCAGGATATGACTCTAGGCTAGAAGGCCAAGGGGGATTCTGAAAGGGAGAATTTCTGAATGTAAGGGGGGAGGGAATTGGAACGTGAAACTCCTTATCTGCTAAGCTTAGCCTTTATCCAGCTTCTTAAGATCCTAGGCCTTCTGAACACCACAGTGGCTGCCTGTATCTTTAACAGTTGCACACAAGGCGAGATTTCCTGCTGAAGTGGAAGCCCTCTTTTCATCCCATCCAAGTAAGTAAAGGAGGAGAATCCCTATTACCCTGCATACATGTGTGGAAGGGGAGTCACTGATCGAATTCCAGTATGAGTTGCAACTGGAGGAGGCCTGTTGAATCAGTGGGGATTTGCTGAGTCAGTTCCTCCATAACTCCATTGGTTCAATGGACTTACTTTGCTTGGGGTTTACTACTCGATTTCAGCCACTCTTTTGCATGCCAGAAGTCCTGTGTGCTGATATAAATTCAAGAACAGCTCTCAAAAACCAGAGGCCATCCTGGTGTGTTGAACTACTAGGCCCATTATCCCCAAACAGCTCTTGGATGTTTTGGGGTGGCATGAATAGGAATTATAATCCAGCACCCTTGGAAGTCACAAAGGTGTCTGTTCATCTGCCTGGAGATGCAATACTTGCAAGGTTTCACCTGCTGAACCTTCAATTGTCCCATCACTGTTAAAATCAGAGGTAGAACCTCCCCTCTGTCAGCTGAACAAGGAGGTAGGGCACGGTGACAAGAATTCCCACCATCAGCCACCAGTTAGAAATGCTGTTTGCTGGGAGATATATATAACAACTTTTCATCTAAGTCACTGCCTTGTAGGTCACATCTAAGTCTGGGTGTAACTAGTTATGAATAATTAGTTATGTTCTGTTTCAGAATTACAGTGGGATACATTTATTATGTAACTTTAAAATGGTAGTTTCACTCCTTTGGCCCTGACCTGTAATGTGTTTAGTGGGAGTGGCCTCACTACTAAATGGTAGAGAAAGTATACCTTGCAGTTCAAGTGGTGCTACCTTGTGCTGTGTTGTGGGTGCTGAGGCAGCAACGAGAAAGAAGGAAAGATGGATGGTGTGTTTTGTCCCACAGGCCAGTAGTTTAAGCATTCAAATGTTTTGCTTTGCTTTAAAGCAATCTAGGGATAATTATTTTACTTACCATTTTGGCTTTTAAAATGCATTATTAAGCTGACTGGATATCTCAGTAGTTCAGGTATCTGGCTGCTGAGCCTGAGATTGGGATTTTGATTCTCCCACTGGGCCTCCTGTGAGCAGAGCCAGCCTGGGTGGCCTTGGGCAAGCTGCGCAGTCCCAGGGTGTCCCCAGAAGGGAAGGGTAAGCCCCTTTTGAGGATTCTTTACACAGAAAACTCTGAAAAAGGTCACTGTAAGTCAGAATACAGTATTTCCAAAGTCTTACTTGTAATTGTAACAGTTGGCCACTTCTGAAGGAAGGGCAGGAGCTATAACTGTAACTACATACTTTAAAAAGTAACTTCCTAATCTCTGAAATCAACCATGTGCGTCTCAGTGACTACTAGATATATCTCAGTTGCTTGGCAGACACCACCTGAGGGAAGTGGGATTTGCAATCAGAGAACATATGGACATGTGCAAAGCTGCCCTGTACTGAAAAGCAGATTGTTTGCTGGGTATAATAGGGCTACTAATAGTAAGAGAGTCGTCTTTTCTAAATGGTATTCTTAAAACTAGAGTTGCCCAGTATTGTTCCTGGAAGTTTTCTTTCTACAAAGCATGCATTTTGCGGATAGGCTAGCAACCCCCACTCAACGTTTTGAATGCATTTGGTGTTGTCTCGTTTTAAAAGCTACACAAGGTTAATTATGGTTAGTATTTGAAATGGGGGGGTGGGCAAAAGGATTGGGCTGCAGAACAATCTTGCCTGAAACCCTGGAGAGATACCAGAGATGACAGTACTGGGCTAGGTGGACCATTGTTCTGAGTCAGCATAAGATAGCTTCCTGTGCTACTTAGCCAGGTGGCCCTTTTCTGTGCATCTTCAAATAAACCCATTAAACACGGAAACAAGGGCAGCTGTAGCTTCCATGCTCCTTTCATCCATCTTTTTTTGCTTCACCTGCCTAGACAAGGAAGGCTCCATAGTTTATCTGCTTCAGGAAAGATGGGAAGAAGTAGAACCAGGAGAGAAAAGGCCAGGTGCAGCCGTGGCTTTGCTATTCGTGTCTAATTTGTAACTGGGACAGGCTCTCTTATTTGGGCTGGAGCTGTGTACCAACTAGGGGAGGGGGTGCAGAAATAATGTGTGGGAAAAGAAACAAAACGGGGAGTGAGAATTATGCAACAGTATTGGTGCAGGATCCTCTTTGCTTTAAAATATACTGTATGGATGCTATGGTATGTCTCACATCTTGGAATGTTGCTCCTGCTTTGCCTACAGCTAACTTTTTCCGTTTAAACCTGACCACCTTAACTTTTAATTCATTACTGCAGCCTCAGACAACAGCAGAAGGCAGTTGGGAGATGGGATAGCTTTCGATTTAGGAAGTCGTTCTTTCTCTGTGAAAGGTGTGATCTTCAAATTCGTTGATGGGGAAAGTCACCTTTTAACTAACCTTGCTCCTGGGCCTTCAACTGCATCCTTATACACAGAAATGTTAAGTTTTCCCAACCACTTTATCTCCATACCAGAAAAAAAGCTTCCATTTCTGTGCTCCTGAGCATAATCTTAAAGGTACAAGATCTGAGTCATTAAAAAAGAAAAACTTGTGGCAACAATCCTACAAAACCCACCACAAACAAGAGGCTGAGGCCTGTGTGCCATTGAAATGAGGTACAGTACAGGAAGGGTAATCTTCTGGTAGATTTTTTAAAAGTTGTGTGTTTTGTGTTGGCAAGCCAGACACTTCCCTTATTTCCCTGGATATATTTGGGAAAATGTCTAAAAAGCAACTGTGGGAGCGCATGGAAGTTGTTTTGCCAGCAGTCCGCAGAATGCTTTTCTCACCTGACATAAGAATAAGCTTTCCTTCTCTTGGGGCCCTATTGTCATACTGGGGAACCTGTTTCAGACAAAAGCTCTTGGAGACAGGTGGAAAAAAAATCATTTGGCTATGTTTGACCTTGGCTTCCAGGACTTTCAGTTAACAGAAACAAACTAAAGCTCTTCCTATACGTACTGAGTTAACAAAACCTGCATAAGGAAATCACCAATGCTCTACTTGTCCTCATTTCCTTCTGCTTCGTTTCTGCCATGCATGTGCATTTTTCTCTTTCCAATAGGTTTTCTTTCCCGCATGTCACAGCTAGCACGCTACGGCCAAACTGTCCAAGCGATGCTGGGAACTGTAGTCGAAAAATGCTCTTTTTGTAACTTCTGCAGCTTCTCAGTTTGCTGGTTCCATGGAGTTCATAATGTCTCTTGTTTTTTTCTTTTTCTGGTTCCAGGGCTCCTTGTAAGAGAAGTCCAGATAGAAGTCTCCCGGCAGCAGGTGGAAGAACTCTTTGGCTTAGAAGACTACTGGTGTCAGTGTGTGGCTTGGAGCTCTGCTGGGACCACCAAAAGCCGTCGGGCTTATGTCCGCATAGCATGTAGGTCTTGAATGCTCTCATGCATCATCCTTTAATCTGCTGGGGGACAGAGGAGGAGGAGGAGGCATATCTGAATTAACCACCTTGGGACCACTTTAGGTTGGACCAAACACAAGGCCAGCTCTTCTGTTCAACCAGGGGTGAGCCAATTAGAGTCCTGAACTCTCAGGACTGTTTTTGTGCGCCCACCACATCTCTCACTTCTCCTGGCAAAAACAAACAAAAAAGGGAGAGAGGTGAATCTTGGAATCCTCCTGGAATGTCAACTTATCCTTTAAAGATGTCACAGAAACCCCACCTTTTCACATTCCTCAAAACTGGTAGTGGGCTTCTAACCCTGTCTAGTTTCATGGAAGGGTTTTTTGTTTTGTTTTTTTGCCATTTTTGTCACTCCGTGGCTTCTAACCCTGTCTAGTTTCATGGAAGGTTTTTTTTTGTGTGTTGGGTTTTTTTTGGGGGTGTTTTTTTTTTTTGCATTTTTGTCACTCTGTATGGGTCTGCAGGGCAGGAAATTATCTCCTGTATGTTGCCGGCTTGCTCACCCCTGCATGAGGCAAAATGAGGCACCCGCCAGAGGCAGTAGAATGTCAGGGGTGGCAAATATCTCCTCTTAACTCAGAGGGCTGCTTATCTAGGCAGCCTCATTAGCTAATGGGTCAGTGCGTGGCTGTCCAAATCTGGCCAAGTCATATGTCTTGCTATGAGCAGAGAACCTCAAGAGCCAGGCGTGCCTTGCTAACTCTATGGGGAGCCCCACTTGAGGGTGAGTGGGTAATAGAGTGATAGAGGCTGGCAGCCGTGGTAAACTGTTGGCCCGTTAGACTGTCTGGGGGGGAAGGGAGGGAATGATTGGGTGAGCAAAAAGCTTTTACAGTAAGGAGGAATTCAATGTTATTTATCCCTTGGTGAGTTTGTTGATAATGAGCCTGCAAGATAAATGAGAATTTTAACCTAATCATTGTTTTATCAAAACTAGCTTATTGTATTAAGGGCTTCAGTGGGCCTTTTTTTCACATCTGTGAATGCCCCATTCTCATGCTGAAAAAAAGAGGGCAAGGGATCTACAAGTATTCGGCCTTATTTGGGTAATAACAGAAGGTGGAGGTGAGAAATTGCAAATGAATGTTGGTGATATTTTTGTTCCGTTTCCAGTGCCATCAAGGTTTAGTGTAGGGGTGGAGAATTTTCTGTCGAGGGCATAGTAGGAGAAAGTGAAGCTTGGACAAGTTACTGTTTCAACCCGGAATGTGTCATCCCAAAAAGTAACTGTTCCAATCTCTGTCTAAGACAAAAACTACACATGCAGTTTGCAATCAGAGGGTGTGCTCCACCTTTCACCTTCGGGGATGTCTCACTTCCAGTTTGCATTTAAAGCTTAACTGGTTAATTGATTCACTGTTCATCAGCTGGATTGTTGTCACACTTGTCTAAAAGGAAGTTCCCCAAGTCAGACAACAGATGGTCTGCATTTTCATGCGCTGACTACCAAAATCACTGCGGAGAACATTTCTATGCCCCAACAGTACTGTGGATATGCTGACCTTGTTCCTCCATTTCAAAATGTGTGTGTGTGAAACCAATGATTTATGTCTTCATTGTATTTACATTCCATACCTTGATGAGTTTCCGGTTTTCGTCCTCCTAACTTTATTGAGGTCAGTCTGACCGAGAAGCTGTGACTAGTTCAATCCCACATAGTCAGCTTCATTGACCAATGAAGAGTTTGATCTCCCAAATTCGAGTCCCACTCTCCGACCACTAGACTGTACTGGCTCGTGTATGTCCTTCTTCCTGGTCCCCCAAAGTGTATTTTCAAGGGATAGAAATGTAGCTGCGTATATACAAGAAGCACTGTACACTTGTGATGTTCGAAGCAGGGGTTGTACGGGGATGTTAGTGAATCCTCAGAAGACCGCACTGAGATAGCCTTGATCATTGAACATCTCGTAAAACAAGATAGCAAATTATCACTGTCATAATCATAACCATTCTCAAAAATAATTGCTTCAGACAACATTTATTTTCATTGGAACTGTTTGTCAGTGTTTGAAAGCAGATTAAGTGGATGATAGTGCCACCTACTGGTTAATTGTTTATTCAGGCAGAGGTTTTATAAGTCCTTTATTATATTGATACCACATCCATGTACTACAGTATTAGACATCTCATCTTGACAACATTTTCCACCATCTTCTGTGACCAGAAGTGAAGAGATTCTGCTCTAATGTTGATGTACAGAATGCAGAGGGTTTGGCAATAATTCTGGTTAGAAGGGAAAAGATAGTAGGGAACCGAGGTATTTTTCTGGAGAATATAAATTATAGAGAGAACCAATGTGGTATAATGGATAGGGTGCCTGGTGAAGAATTTTGGAGATGTGGGGTTCAAATCTCCACTTAGCCATTACAAACATACTGGGTAGTAGCAATGGTAAAGCATGCCTTGGAAATCTTGTATACCTTTCAGTTCTTATTAGGTTCACTATAAGTCAGAAGCAATTTGACAGACACATGAGAACAACAGTGTTAGTAGAGGCAAGATAGCTAGGCCCTTCTGACAACAGAGCCAAACTTTGTTGAGCACTGAGGCTTTCTCTTCACAAAGATGTCACATTTCTGTTTTTTGAGGGTTCAGCCTATACACATGAACTAAGTTGGAAGCATAAACACCTTTACACTCCAATTGTAAGGGGTTTACTTCCCCAAAAATGTTTTGAGTGGGACACATTCTTCAGAGTGAAATTTAAGGACTATGTTGAGCTCTCCTGTTTTTGCTCTGCGTATCTGACTTCCTTTCATTCAGCTATCCTGACCGGAGTTGAATAATTTTGAACTCTCTTGTTGATGTAGTGCTGGAACCCAATGGAGGAGAATTATGAGTGTTTGTAATTAGGATACTTTCCCAATATTCTATGCTTGTCCATTTCTGTACGAAGTTGCAGCTTTCTGAGATTGTAACCTTGTGAAGGTTTCCTAGTTCAATCTTACAGTGAAATGATCCCTCCAGAAACACTGCTTCCATAAAAGATATGAAGTCTGTTTCCTATCAGAAACACTGAGTTTTTGTCTGTAAATTGCTTCAGCAACAACAAGACATGCCTATATTTGTTGTAAGGGAAGCAAAATGTATGGTTTTGTATGGTTTTTTTGTATTTTTTGGACAAGAGCGCTCATCATCCCAAGATAGTGTGATCAATGATGATGGGAATTATAGTTTATTATAGTCTAGAAGGATCTGAGCAAGGAAAGTCCATTGTGCAGACTGTGAATTAAAATGAATTCTCGACCCCTTAGCTCTCCCTCCACAATATGATGAAAAAATTAACTCTGCGTGACTGCATGGGCTAATGCTTGTCTGGGTTGGATTTGCTTCTTTTTCTTAGATCTGAGGAAAAACTTTGACCAGGAGCCCCTTGGGAAAGAGGTGCCGCTGGATCATGAAGTGCTTCTGCAGTGTCGCCCCCCTGAGGGTGTGCCAACAGCTGAGGTGAGCAAGGCAGGCTGAAAGGACGCTCTGTGGTAGGTGGCTCAGGGAGAGTGCCCGTGGAATGGAATGTTTCATTATTTTCACTTGGCAACATCTATTCCTTTTTGTGATAATTATTAGGGTAATTGTGATTAAATAACACATATAGCGCTTTTCACAGTTGCCAAGCAATACATAGGCCTGGGATCATAACACTGTTGAAGAGAAATTTGGTACTTCCATCACTCCCTGTGCCCAAAAAATTTGAATGGCTCCCCTTCAGTTCAGCTTATTGCCAAAACCTTTTTAGTGCAATCCTGGACATGTTTATTTAGAAGTAAGTCCTGTTAGCTCAGTGAGACCTACAGACATAACTACTATACTGCCCATTATTTGTATCCAGTTTATTTTCTCAATGCATCCTTGAGCTGGTCCGTCTTTCTAGGCATAAAGTGGAATTTCTCTCTCCAGTATGTTCTTGCCCTTCTGCTAGAATTTCCTTGTATCCCCTTCTCTCCTTGCCCTTCACCATCCCCCTTCTTTCTCTGGCCCCTTTTCTCTTTGACATCCAGGTATACAACATGGATATGCCTATTATATGGTTTTCATTCCCTTCTCTGCCCTCCTGTACCTCTTTTCCAGTATCACACAGTCTTCCATGTAAGACTTTTCCTCTTTTGGAGATGGGGGGGGTAAACAGAGGGAGATTTTGCTCTGCTTTGCAGTCATCCTCACCACCTCCAGAAGGGAACAGTAGACATAGCAGAAGAAAGCTCTCTGCACTCCAGCAAGGTGGCTAGCTGAATCTTGGTGGTGGAAAAGCCCTTTCCAGCTGGCACTGTTTCTCCTCAAAGCCGATACCCCTGATTGTGAACTGGGCAGATAAATCAGAACTGCCAAAAAACACATGGATGACTGTCTATTGCTGGGCAATGTGCAGAGCTGTTCCTATTTATTATAAACTAGCCATACATAAATACATTCTTTTATATATATGTAAAATAATTGAATGAATGAATGAATGAATGAATGAATGAATGAATGAATGAATGAATGAATGAATGAATGAATGAATGAATGAATGAATGAATGAATGAATGAATGAATGAATGAATGAATGAAATGAATGAATGAATGAATGAATGGGAGGCACAGGTAACTCTTCTTGACTTCCTTATGTTTTATAATATCATATTCAAGCAAAGGGCCCATCCAGACAATCTGTACGGCTTGGATTGATCTGAGTTGGAAATTCAGTCTCTTTTCCCATTTATCTGGCTTTATTCACTCCAGGCTCCCATATTTGTAGTCAGTTTTCCTTTCATGTAATCCAGGTTAAGTTTCCACACCATAACACACTCTCCCCTTTCTCTCCCCTTCCTCTTCCCACGTCTCCGTTCTCCTCTCTTCTCACACCCTCACCATTCTCCACCTTATCTCCACTTGTTTCCCTCTCTTGATGTTGCCTGACTTAGTAGTAGAAGCTTCCATTTTGTGAATAAGGGAGTGTTTCTTTCTTCTTAACTTGAGGAAAAGTCTTCAGAGTTCGAAGGAGACTTTACAGCCATTAGCTCTTTTGCGGGCGGGTGGAGGTGCAACACGTTACAAGGCATGAAGCAGAGGAAAAGAGGCAGTTAGGCTGGGGAGAAAAGTTCCAACTTCTACCCCCATCTAAAGAGGCATTCAGAGGCAGCCTTCCTCCATGATGAGGAGAAAAACATTCCTACAGCTGACATCCCAGCTGATATTTGGGGAGTTCTAATTGTACAGGACCCCAGCTTGTTCAAGACAAAGGGACAGATGGGAGTAACAGATCTGGAAGGAAGCAAGGGGTGAATAACCCTGAAAAGGAAGAGAAGTGGAGGGAATGATTCAAGACTCCAGTAATGTCACGTGTATCTGTTAAGATTATCTGAACCAATGGGTAACTGAACCCCATCTTAGGAGCAAATAGGATGTGTGGATAGGCGCTGGCACGGAGAAATAGGATAGGAAAGAGTTCAAAAGACCTACTCTTGTTTCCCCCCTCTTCCTTCAAGGTTACAGCCAGCGAATTTGCCCTGTCTTTGAAACCTCCTTCAGCCAGTAATCTCACTGTGTGATCTTGAATACCGTCTCTCATTCTCACTGTCCACCCCACCCTCACCATTGGCAAAGTTACTTAGACCGAGGTTTTAAATATTCCTTCTGCTTACTGTTATCACACAGTGAAGGGTGGCTTACCACTAGTTAATTCTGTCAAAGAACTATCTGTGAGGATACAGTAAGGAAGAGAGCAAGCAGAGGATGTTGTACAAGGGCACAGCTGACAACAAGCATACATGACCATAATCAAGAAGAGATTCTTGGGCCCAGAAGAAACATGAGTTGCTTGGGAGATGTGATGGCAAACAGGTCAAATCCCAGACCAGATCTTAAAAGGACCCAGAATTGAGATTGGCTGCATCAGGTCCTCCTCTTGCTGCTGGTTTTATTGCTAGCAGAACACTTTGAAATTTGTGGATGAGGCTGTTGCTTTTCTTCCAACAGTGACAGTTGCCCTAGCATTAAAAATATTACTTCCTCCTCCCCTAAGACAGATGGTGGAATAAGTGCTTTAAAAACCATCCAGAAATATCTTGTCTCCTGCCCTTTTCTTTCCCTCAGCTTTTTTAGTCAGCCAGGCAGATTTGTTTTATGGGCGCTGGTTGCTGTCACCCATTCCTCCCACTCCCAATTTGTCAGCAGTTGGTAACCAGAAACTTCCTGCCTTCTCACCCACAGCTGGACACATCTGTGCCTTCCCTGAAGGCACCTCATGAAGGTGAATAATTGCAGGCAAGGATGCAATTTTTGCCACTTTGGTCCATGAATAAATCACAAGCAACTACGACCTCTCTCCAAGTAGCTATTCCCCCACCCCCACCCACACTCTCCCCACACAATTCTGCGACACCAGCGAGTGTTGGTGCACCTCATTGTTCTATGCAACTGCTGTAAAAGGGCCAGCTGGGAGTGCTGCACCTTACTAGACTGCCAGTTTATTGCCAGAAAAGAAGCACATGAGGTAAATGATGGATCGGGGCCATGATGGATAGTGTCACACACAGGCTGCCTGCTCTCATTAGTCAGCAGAAGTGTTTATTTTAGGCAGCGGATCTGTTATTCTGACATCTAATAACGCACTTAACCTCCACACCTGTTCAGCCCAGCCTTTTCTCTCTCCCACATGAGCTGAACAGCCATTAACCCCTGACAGAATTTAGCAAAGAAAACACAGAAGGAATGTTTTTTCTAGTGAGAGAGGGAAAGGAGCAATTAGAGATTGGAAATGTCACTATCCGTAGACTTTCCCTAACATGTCATGGCACAGTGAAAGATGCACCGGCCCATCTTCTGACACCCTGTAACCCAGGAATGTCTGTGTAAACAGAGTGGTGTAATAGCTGTATGTTGGCTTGGCCTTGGGAAACTTCAGCTCAGATGTCTTTTGTCAAGATTATTGGATGTCAAAGACCTGGTTTTATGAGCAGAGCTTGGAAACATTTTGCACTACAAGTCCCAGATTTAGCCAGCCAACATGGCTAGAGTACATCCTGGAGAGCAGCTTGCCCTCCCATGGGGTGCATGGGTTGGTGAATTCTATTTTTAATTGCCCTGCAAGCTGGATCTGGCATAGCCTACCTTACTATTTGTGAGTAAAGGAAGGGAAGCCATGTAGATAACAGATTAATTTATTTATCACCTTTATGTCCTCCACTGGCTTTTGCAAAGGAGCTGAGACCAAGAGAAGGAACCTGACAATAGCACTATAAAGCAAGAGAGGATAAGCATGTATGATGCTCAAAGTGAGATAGAACTGTTGGATAGCTTGATGGTTTAGGTATTTGACTGCAGAGTCAAAGGTTGGGAGTTCAGTTCCCCATTGTGCCTCCTTGACAGGGACTGGACTTGATGATCAGTAGGGTCTCTTCCACTCTTGCAGTTTTAATGATGAGGATGATATTCAAGAAGACCAGCTTTCACTTTTATGTGCACGTGCAACAGAATGGGGTTTTAGAATCCTGTAGCGGTAGAAAGAACTGCACCACTTTCAGCTTCAGTTCTGAATACTCCTCCACCCAAAAAAGCAAAATTCTGTCAGAAGGAAGCTAGCTGAACAAGCAACAGGCTGAGCCAGAACCTTTCCCCCTTCTGCTGTGTGCCTTTTGTTTTGTTTTGTTTTGTAAAAATACAAAAATAAACATTGCCGGTCAGGTTTATTTCATTTAATTTTTAAAAAATGACAGGCAAGCAGAATTTCCTATTTGTAGCTTGAAGTCGTAAAGGGCAAGCTCTCATGGCTGGTGTGAAACTACAAAGCCCATCATGTACTCCTCAGAGAACAAAGCTGCATTGCAGCATTTTTGGAGAACAGCCAATAATGCTTTTGAGAATAGGTGTCAGGGACTCTTCTGGAAGGGAGAGAAAGCAGAACATTCACTAGGGTGCGGTCGAAGCAGAAAAGCCTGACAATTCCCTCCAAGTCAAGGTTCATGGTACCCATGGCAGGCAGGTTATTTTAGCAGGGGAGGCAGAAAATCCTGTAAACACCTCTCTCCATTGCTAGCAATTAAAAAAAACAATTAAAAATGCAAGAAAGAACAAAAAGGCTTTTCGACCCTTTTAAATCTGCCCTTGGCAGCCACGTCAGTCTGCCCAGTAGTAGGGATCGCTGTGCAAGTGCCTGTTGCATCACATAGGCAGGCCACTGAAAACAATTGGGAGTATTAATAAAAGCCACATAGCATGTCTGTTTAGGCTGAGTAAGCGAGTCATCAGCTCCAAGGAGCAAACAGATATGGCTTCCTAGGGGATCTTGTAACTTTTCTTGAAATACTAGTGGAAAGTGGTTACAGTAGACCTATGTTTGGGCTATAAATTGTATGTGGTATGTATTGTGGAGTTGGACAAAATGTGGCTATCCAGATATTGTTATTGGACTGCAACTCCCAGCAACATTGATTAGCATAATCAATGGTGAGGAATTCTGGGAACTGCAGTCAAACAATATTTTGAGCTCCGCAAGTTGCCTATACTATATCTGTGTTATGGTACTTAGACAAGGATATCTTTTTTCAATTTTTTAAAACAATTTCTGGTGCCAGTTGTTAACTGTGTGCTTCCTTCCTGTTTTTTTCCCCTCCTTGTCTTGACTCTCCTTCCTTCTCCCTTCCTTCTCTTCTCTCGCAATTTCTGCCCCTCCATCTCCCGTTTATAGGTGGAGTGGCTGCGGAATGAGGATGTGATTGATTCTTCTCAGGACACCAACTTCCTGATAACCATTGACCACAACCTCATCATCAAGCAGGCTCGGCTTTCGGACACTGCCAACTACACCTGTGTGGCCAAGAACATAGTTGCCAAACGGCGGAGCACCACTGCCACAGTCATTGTCTATGGTATGGGTTGGTTTCTTAACGTTGGGCTTGCTGAATTTGCACTGCGATAAGATGGCTGCTTTAAATCAAATAACAATTTGATATTAAACATAATAATAATCACCATGCACCGTCAAGTCAATTCTGACTTATGACAACCATTTCCAGAGTTTTCCAGGAAGAGAATACTCAGAAGTGGTTTGCCATTCCCTTCTTCTGGAGGCATCCTAGGATTTTGCAGTTTGCCCAAGGCCACATAGGCTGGCTTTTCTCCTGGGAGGCACAGTGGGGAATCGAACTCTCAGCTGCTCCACAGCCCCTGGGATATCCAGCTAGGGATACTAAATATAGCTATTCAGAAATCAGTCCTAGTTACTTTAATGTGGGACTTACTACTAAGTAAACCGTACATGATACTTTGTCTTAAGAATTTTTACTAGTGTTATTCTTCCATTTATTAAACCAGTTCATGTGTATTTTTCTGTTTGTCTATATATAAAATTATGGGGAAAATAGTAAAAAAATCAAAACTGAAAGACTAAATATAACTCACAGATAAGGGGGCCTAAATTTAGTGACTGCAAAAAAAGAGTAAAAACATTGCTGAAAAATATGAACGAATAACAAATGAGTTTTTAACAAATTATTTCCAAGTTTGGGTTGAACCCAGTGGAGCTAAGTCAGGTATGGCTCTGATTGTTTCTGAGACTAGACCAGAGGCCACTTACGCAGTCCAGTGGCAAAAAATGTTCACAATGGATGTTCCTGTCTTTCCACTGACCTGCCTTGATGGCCTGTCTCATTATCTCACATTTTTCCAGGATAGGGAAACAGGGCATTTCAGGTTACACCTGATGTGGTGTAATGCTGGAGAGCAGATCACCAGGGTTTCAGGCAGTCCTTCCTGAAAATGCCAGGGCCTGTGGCTGGGTCCTTCCTTACAAATACAAAATGTCTTTGAGATGAAGCCCTCACCTGTAACTTTGGACTAATATGTCCATTTCAGCTGCTTCAGTTCTTACCGCATCACGTCTTGGTTCCCCTTGCCATCGTATTCTCAGACGTATGAGACTAGGTGTTCTTTTAGCTGCTTCTTTATTAGATGCAGGGCCACTTGTCAGGTCACTGCTTGGTGCTGCTTGGGAGCGGAGAGAAACTGACAAGGATTTGGCTTCAGCAGCAAAGCCAGTCACCACCCAATCATGAAACCCTAGCATGACTGGGGCAACCATTTGGTGTGCAAGCCCTTGCTTGCATCAACAGGAAGCTGGTGTGGTGAGGATGTTAGGAGGTGTATTCTGTGTGGAAGGGCTGTAATATAAGAACTGGTCAAAGAGGGAAGTGATCCACATAAATTAAGTTGGTTTGGGTTTGTTTAGTGTCACTCACTGTCTTGGCTCACTTGCCTTGCCTTTCCCTTTAAGTGACTGTTAAATGAAAGTGTTCCCTTCCATGGTTATAGTGAACGGTGGCTGGTCTACCTGGTCAGAATGGTCCCCCTGCAGCAACCGTTGTGGCCGTGGATGGCAGAAGCGCACCCGGACCTGCACCAATCCAGCACCTCTGAATGGGGGCTCTGTTTGTGATGGACAGTCCTTCCAGAAACTTGCCTGTACCACCATGTGCCCAGGTAAATACTTTTTGAACATGAAAACCTTTCTGGTTTCTTGGAGCCTTGTAGAAAAAGATGACCCATCCCAGACGAAACAAACAAACACACACACACACACACACAGACCCACACACAGACACAGACACAGACACACACACACACACACACACACACACACACACCCACACACATTCTGTTTTCCTGTCCTTGCCGTTTCTCCAAAAACAAGAGATGAACCTTTCTAAAGATAGATGATGAACATTTTTAATTTAAATCATATCCTGCTTTTCTTTGCCCAAGAATCCAGATACAATCATACTGTGTACTTGCAATGACTACTTAAAGCAATTGAAAACATATCAAAATGCACACCATCGGTTTTTAGCATACACCTATAAAACAGCAACCTTTGAAAACTGATCACATGTTAAAGGCCATTTGGAAGAGATGTGCTTTCATCATCTTCCAAAACACAAAAAAGGGGAGTCACATGGGTAGGCAATTCCAAGTTTGGGGCCACTGCCAAATGGCCGCAGTTCTATGGGTGTTTGTTTAAGTTGATGCAGCTAATTGTAGCTAATTGGCAAAAAGCTGGGGCACCTCTCAGTTGTGTACACAACCACATGCCAGACTGAGATCCTCTGCAACCCCTCCTCAGTTAGCTTAACTAGCCACAGCACATTACACATACTTTGAGTGAATACCAAGAGGGCTCCCACCCCATCTCTCATGTCTATTCATCAAATCTCTGGCAGTAATTAGACAAGGACCAGAACCTTTAAGATGATCTGTGAGCTTAGCCAGGGTCGGAGGGGAAGGAGTAGTACATGATTGAGTCACAAGCTTTTCCCCCTTCCCTTTTTCTTTCTTTCCTTTCCTTTCCTTCCTGGTTACTGAAGGTGTGGAGGAAAGTCAGTCCATCCCTTTGCCTCTCAGAACAAATTGGTTGTGTTAATGTCCCCTTCCCATGTTGCTGCCTGGTCATTGGGGGTCACCACCTGTTTTTGTGAACAATTTCCTTCTCTTGGCATATGCACTGGAGACCTTGAAGGATAATGCAAGGTCATGTGATGTGGCCTCTCCTCCTTGTTCTTTAATCTCCCTTCTCATATGCCTCACATGAGAGTGAGCAGTGCCAACTGAGCCATCTGCTACACTGGTCCTGGATAGGGAACGAAGGGTTGGTTGCTCTTATTTATTTCCTTGACACAAGGAGGCAAGGTTAGTTTCAAGATCCTTACAAGGGATCAGCTGATACCTGCGGGCTGCTCTGGTTATCTTTCACATCTCAGTTTTGCTCTGTTTCCCAGGAGGTTTTCTGAAGTACACTAATAAATACATTAGCCAACAGCCAGGTTTGCTGAAATTATAGCCTAGAATCAAGGCTGAAACCTTGTTTAGCCAGTTAGGTTAGACTCTGTTCTTTGTACAGAGGTTCAGATTATCAAAGCAGGAAGTGAAAAACAACAAAAGGCTATCACGTCTGCTTCCGAAAACAAGCCACCTGTTTCCAAATGTCATTAATCAAAACTAGTGCATCCAGTAATCACAGGTGCCTTAAGACAAATGAGGAAGAGAGAGATCCTGTATCTCACAGTTCACAGTAAAATGTAGCATGCGCTGTGGCAAGAAGGGATTTCTGTTGACCCGGAATGTAAGGAAGACGTGTAATTTGGAGACCGAAACTGCTAATATCACAAAACTGGCTTGCAGAGAGAAGTGTTGTTGTGAAGTGTGGAAGAAGAACACCAGTCCTTTGATACTTGTAGTTCAGAGGGACAAGAATAGAATAAACTATCCAATGAAGAAATACATTTAGCAAAAGTGTAAAGTAAAGCTAAAATATGGTTGTTGTAGGTTTTTCAGGCTGTTTGACAGTGTTCTGGAGGTTTTTCTTCCTGACATTTCACCAGTCTCTGGGGCCAGCAGCTTCAGAGGACAGGAGTAGAACTCTGCCTGTGTTTTGGTGTAGTGGCATAGTTGAGTATTAGAGAGGGAAACAACTCTCCATTTTGGTGAGTCATCCTGCTTTGTGAGTCATCAAAAGTTGACGACTCAGCACAAAGTTGCACCCATGAACCAACGAATAACGAACACCCCCTATCCAGGCTTTTCCGGGCAGTAGACTCGGCCTACTGGGGAAAGCCCTCCCCAGGTAGGCCCAGTCCACCCTGGGAAAGCCTGCGTTGGCAGGGGGGAAACCTCCGGAGGCCTTCCCCGCTGCCATGGGAGGCATCAAAGCACGATTGGTGGCAGGGGGACCTCCGAGATGCCTCCCATGGCAGCGGAGAAACCCTGGAAGGCATCCGGAGGTCCTCCACCACCGTTGCTGGTACTGGAAGCCGAGCCGCGTGATCCTGGCTATGCTCGGACTCCTGGACTTCCCCTGCCACCGCTGCCGCTTGGCTCCCAGCAGTGGTGGCAGGGGCAGGGGAAGTCGAGGAGTCCGAGCATGGCCGGGATCGCGTGGCTTGGCTCCCAGCAGTGGCGGCGGGGGACCTCCGGATGCTTTCCAGGGCTTCTCCACCGCCATGGGAGGCATCTTGGAGGTCCCCTCCACACTGCCGATCGTGCTTCGGAGGCACTATCCGCAGGGGGGACTTCCAACATTCCTCCGATGGTGGCGGAGAAGCCCTGGAAGGCATCCAGAGGCAGAGTGGCGGCCTACGGACTGGAAGGGGGAGGCGGGGAAAGTGCAAAATTTGAATTTGGCGCTTTCCCCACCTCCCTCTTCTGGTCTGTAGGTTGATTCTCCAACCACAAGTCGATTGGAAATCTTGCGGCTGGAGAAGTCTGTACCTCGAAAAGTACGGATGTTGAGCCGTGCATACGTTGAGGGACCACTATATGTAAAGGGAATGAATGCTGTGTATAAATGCTAAATATTGTGACTTACTAATGCTGTCCTGTGATGCCTCCCCCAGAGTTCCTGAGAACCATAAACGTAATTTTTCCAAGTTCTCTTTGATTATATACCTGTAACAGTATAGCTTGTATAATATGTAGCCACGGAGGTTTATCTGCCTGTTTCGTAATGACATAACTGTGAGAATCTACATGCAAGTTGCATGTTATTTCCAACGCAGAAGAGTATTATGCATACAATACTCTTCTGCATTGGGAATAACATGCAACTTGCATGTAGATTCTCACAGATAACAGTCACGTACATTTTCATGGTAGGACATGACATCCAGCATGTGTAAACTGTGAGATGCCTGTACAGTGTTCTGTGGCTTGCAGCAAATGATTTGGTGACAAATCATTGTTTTTGTTCAATCAAGTTACTTCCAACTTCATGGCAATTCTACTAGTGTTTGAAGGTGTGTGAGATATCAAGGAGATACCATTGCCGCCACCAGCGAGTTTCCACATCTGAGCAATGATTGGAGCCCAGGCTTCCTGAATCCTAGCCCATTACTCTAGTATGAACCATGCTGCAATGGCTCGCAACAAATTGTTATCCTCTGTTTCCCTTCCCTTGCCCCTTGTACCTGTGGAATCTGTCTAGTTTCCCGTATTTCTCATCTTTTTTTTTCCTTCTGGAATGCAGTAGATGGAGCCTGGACTGAATGGAGCAAATGGTCTGCCTGCAGCACGGAGTGCACCCACTGGAGAAGCCGAGAGTGCATGGCCCCGTCTCCCAAGAACGGAGGCAAAGACTGCAGCGGTGTGCTGCTTGATTCCAAAAACTGCACCGATGGGCTCTGTATGCAAAGTGAGTGAAAATGACGTGGCTAACGTGGTTTTGAGGGAGTTGGAGCCCATGTCTGAGGCCAAAGTGTAGAAATGTTACTTTGGGGACTGCAACTCCTAGCAGCTGTGCAAGCTGGGGATTCTGGGAATTGCAGCCAAAACAAGTATTGATAGCCATGTTGACACAAAACAAATTCTAGACACCATACTAAAGGGAAACCTTCATTAGGCCAAGCAACAACAACAATAACAATAATAATGTGCCACCAAGTCACATTTGACTTTCCAGGGTTTTCTAGGTAAAGAATACTCAGAAGTGGTTTACCATTCACTATTTCTGGGAGCACTCTGGGACTGTGGCAAAAGCTACACAGGCTAGCTGTTTTTTTCCCCACAGGAGACATGATGTGGCATCAAACTCAAAACTCCACAGCCAGGTACCTCGCTCACTGAGCTGTCCTGGACCAAAACGTGTACAAAAGCAGAAAAAAAAACTATGCAAGCATTTGAGAGAAGGCTCTCATCATTAAGCAAGATGTAAAAAGTAAGCATGGCACAGGAAGAAGATGACAGAGGAAGTCCTAGATCTTAAATCCTGTTTCCTGGGGTGTTGTTTTAGCAAGTAAAGATGGGTGCAGCCAACAGTGAAATGGGCCTCATGAAATGTTACAGTGGTGTTAGATCTCACCTTGACTGTTTCACAGATTCACTCATATTTGCGAAATTAGAAACTGTTGGCCCTACATCTTAGATTGAATGCGTCCCTGGACAGAACTGAAACCCAAACGATAACCTTTCTCACTTGTTTGTAAAAGCAGCATATAACTAGACAAAGCTGTACTACTTAGATATCCAATTTTTATCTGTGAGAAAGTTAATATTATTGTAAATAAATAAATAAATAAATACTACTTAGTTATCCAATTTTTATCTGTGAGAAAGTTAATATCATAAGGTATCTTCTTCAGCACCATCATGGATGATACCACTCTGATGGCAGAAAGTGAGGAGGAATGAAAGAACCTCTTAATGAGGGTGAAAGAGGAAAGTGCAAAAAATGGTTTGAAGCTCAACATCAAAAAAACAAAGATCACGGCCGCTGGTCCCATCACCTCCTGGCAAATAGAAGGGGAAGATCTGGAGGCAGTGACAGATTTTACTTTCTTGGGCTCCATGATCACTGCAGATGGTGACAGCAGCCATGAAATTAAAAGATGCCTTCTTTCTTGGGAGGAAAGCGATATGGCAAACCTAGACAGCATCTTAAAAAGTAGAGATATCACCTTGCCGACAAAGGTCCATGTAGTCAGAGCTATGGTTTTTCCAGTAGTGATGTATGGAAGTGAGAGCTGGACCATAAAGAAGGCTGACGGCTGAAGAATTGATGCTTTTGAATTGTGGTGCTGGAGGAGACTCTTGAGAGTCTCCTGGACTGCAAGGAGAACAAACCTATCCATTCTGAATGAAATCAACCCTGCATGCTCACTGGAAGGACAGATCCTGAAGCTGAGGCTCCAATACTTTGGCCATCTCATGAAAAGAGAAGACTCCCTGGAAAAGATCCTGAAGTTGGGAAAGTGTGAAGGCAAGAGGAGAAGGGGTCGACAGAGATTGAGATGGTTGGACAACGTCATCGAAGCTACCAACATGAATTTGACCAAACTCTGGGAGGCAGTGGAAGATAGGATGGCCTGGCGTGCTCTGGTCCATGGGGTCACAAAGAGTCAGATATGACTTAATGACTAAACAACAAAATCTTCAGGTGTCTATAGAAACACTTGTGAAAAGCAATGCCTGAGAGCGTCCTGTCGATAGCTCATCTACGGTAGCCGAATATCAGACCAGATAAATTCTTTGGCCATTTAAATGTATTTTTTAAGACTACAGCTTGGAAACAGCAGACAGGGATTATGACTCAATGAACCACATGCACACTTAATTCTGAGTCAGTCTGACTTAAACTAAGAGGGTGCATTTCCTAAGTAAACAGGACTGGTCTGTGGTTGCTTACACCATAGTTATTTTTGGACTTTGTCTCCCACCTCCCACACCCTTGGCTATTCAGGCTAAGGCTGAGTTGTATGCCAATAGCTTCTAGGTAAGTTGCCCCACCCTGACAGTGCAAGTCTGAGTAACTTCCACTTGTTCTGCTAACAACTGAAAGAATACCAGAGACGGAAGTAGAAGTGTAAAGAGATTTCAGTGTATTCAGCAGGGCTCTGTAGCATTCCTCTCTGTCTTGAATAACTCTCTTTTCCATAGTGTGGGGAGAGAGACCAGGATGAGTGACACCAGGAGAACTATTTTGGGAAATATATAGTGAAAGTTAGTAGATGAGTCACCAGATTATCCTCTGTTAAAATGTGGTGTTTTTTTTTTTTAAATGCTCAATGTGAATCCTCTGAAAACAGGTGGGGGAACTGGAGTTGTTTTGCATTGTAATTCAGACACCAAGTTGGGAACCTTTTCTGTTTCTAGAGATTTTTTAAAAAGTGCTCTCCAGAAGCAGAACCATATTTCCTTTCTCATATACAGGACGAGGGCACAGGCTTTGCAGAATAAAGGAGGTGTGGCTTATTGTCTTGTTCTCTCATTACACCATGATGTTGATTTCCCATTAAAAGCCAACAATTATACTATTACAGGGAATGCTGCAAAAAGGGCTGATGGTGGAAATCCAGTACCAACCCTTTCTCTGTCGGCCGGGAATGGGGGGGGGCACTGTTCCACATGTTGTGGGATTGCAACTCCCATCAGCATGAGTCACCAGATTATCCTCTGTTAAAATGTGGTGTTTTTTTTTTTTAAATGCTCAATGTGAATCCTCTGAAAACAGGTGGGGGAACTGGAGTTGTATACTTTTACGGGGAATGCTGCAAAAAGGGCTGATGGTGGAAATCCAGTTCCAGCCCTTTCTCTGTCGGCCAGGAATCGGGGGGGGGGGCACTGTTCCACATGTTGTGGGATTGCAACTCCCATCAGCTTTAGTCAGCATGGCTGATAGTGGAGTATAAAAAGGTTCCCCTTGACAATTTTTTTGTCCAGTCGTGTCCGAATCTAGGGGGCGGCGCTCATCCCGCTCTTCAAGCCATAGAGCCAGCGTTTGTCCGAAGACAATCTTTCCGTGGTCACATGGCCAGTGTGATTTAGACACGGAACGCTGTTTACCTTCCCACCGAGGTGGTCCCTATTTATCTACTCGCATTTGCATGCTTTCGAACCCCTAGGTTGGCGGGAGCTGGGACAAGCGACGGGAGCTCACTCCGTCCCGTGGATTCGATCTTACGACTGCTTGGTCTTCTGACCCTGCAGCACAGGCTTCTGCGGTTTAGCCCACAGCGCCACCACGTCCCTTTAGTGGAGTATGGTGGGACTTATAATTCAGCAACATCTGGGAAGGCCAGCCATGTGCTCCTCTCCATTTGTCTAACGAGACCCACACCCATAGTCGTCCTCCTGTCAGGTTGAAACGAATGGTCAGTTTTCTCTAATGTCAGCACGGGCTGAAGGATTCTGCATATAAATGCTGTTGATTAATAGTGGGCCACAGTCATCACTGTTTAATCTTCATCCGCACACACACTCAATCTCCCTGGGCCTTTTCCTAGTATGAAAAACCATCTATGCTTCAGCCCATAGATGAAATGACCAGAAGCAAAGTGGCTGGACACCTGCAGCTCAATATTTGGCTAATTAGGGCAAACCTCTATATAAGGTCTCAGACGAGCATCCTGAAGTGCTCTTTGTGCTCCCAAAGCCAGCAAAGGCCTTTTTCTAGCTCTTTTTGCAACTCTTCCTCTCTTCTAGCCCTTTGGGACCTTTCACAAAGATACTGCCTGTCGTTGCCTCGTTGCTGACGTCTTTGATTTCTTGGTGTATCTGTAAATGTCACCTGAGAAGCATTAGGGCAAATCAGCCAATGGATGACCTGATCCTGAGGTTGGCTAAGGGAACAGGCAAGTGAGTTTGGTCTTAACCCATTTGCTTTAAGAACTGGATGTGTTTGAGAAGGCAGGAGAATCAGTGTATTCACAACCCCTTGGGAGGATCAAAATAAATTGCTTGAACAAGTGGAAAGGCCAACGTCTCGAGAATAACACCCCTGTTTACAGTGGGACATTCACACCGCTTGTCCTAATTGTTTTAATTGTGTGAGTGCTGCCACCTTCCTTTGTCAGAATGATTTCTATTCTGATCATTTAATCTAAGTTTGTCTGTTGCCTGGATTAATGTTGCTACTTGTAGCCTGTCCTCAGAGTACACTCTCTCCCGCACAGTGTGCTGCAGACTTCCCTCACACCCCTGCTGCATGAATCCTTTTGTGTCATCTTTAATGAAATCACAAGATTTGACCCATGGGGGAAGACAGGAGAGAGGGGGAGAGGGGGAGAGGAGCCCTGTGCAGAGACATGATTTCAAAACAACCCAAAAAGGCATCTCACCCTTCAGTAGCTGCTGGCTCTGGAGAAGCTCATTGCTGGGGAAAACTAAGGCATCGTGACAGCTGAGGTTGGGGGCAGTTTGCAGGCAGAATCAAGCTGTGCACCATGCCAGCCTGCTGCTGGCAGTCAGTGTTCAGTTGGCAAAAAGTGCTGAAAAGAAAAACAAGAAAACAGCAATAGCCGAAGATGCAAGCGTCTTCAGGCTTGATCGGTCTCCTCATAAACCCTCAAACCAGTCCTTCACCTATATATGTTAAGAATGTATGTATGTGTGTGTATTTGATCATTAACTAGGGTATTAATTGGATGCTAGGCCATCTCTCTTAAAGCACTCTCTGTATTAATTTTTTATATCTTTTGGGAAGGAAGTTGAATTACTGCTGCACGTTACCCAGTCACATTAAGATTTATTAAATGCTTGCCCTTTGCTCCTAAAACATTGTTTTTCACCTGGCTGGGTGATTCTTTCTCCCAGAACTTCAGGAACTGCCCTTTGCTCCTAAAACATTGTTTTTCAGCTGGCTGGGTGATTCTGGGAGTTGTAGCCCCTCCCTCCAATGTAATGTTTCCAAGCTGTTGATATCAGTTGTCCGAAGAATGTGAAAGGTATGGTGGGCAGCAGGATTCCTTTCAATGTTACCCATCATTAAAGAACCTTAGTCATGGGAGAGTGAGATCAAGCTGGCCTACAACAAAGTTTAAGATTATTTAACAATGCTGAATTATTAATTATTTCTATGACTGCTGATTTGTGCTTGTTGGAAGAGGGATAAGCCTTGTTTAAGCTTATGGGACTTATTTTTACATAAACATGCAAGGATTGGTCCATAAAGCAGTAACTCATAATTCCAAACAAAGCTGGAAAACTGGGTCCAATTCTGAGTGAGGTATTCTGGGAATTCTAGCCCACGTGTGAGAATGATAGATCAAATTGAAGAAAGTAAATTAATGGAACGGAGGATGGAGAGCTGAGTCTACAACAGTTTTCAAGGAAACATCTATAAACTTGTTGCTTTTTCTCTGGTGTTTGATGGACCTCAGCGAAGGCTGTCCTAGGAGAAATGGTCAAATATGCTGTAGGTTCAGACGACAATGAGATCTGTAGACAGCTCTGAAAAATGTATGATATGCAACTACTTGTCTCAGAAGTATTTTTCAACATTTGGTTGAGAACAGAGAATATTTCCACAGTTTTGTGATCTCTGATTAAAAAAAAACTGTGACAGTTTGAAAAATTTTGAATACTTTTCCCACAATGAGACAAAATGAGCAAGAATATAGAGGAAAAGTCACATTTTTCATGGGTGGGTCACAAATCACAGAATACCTCAGACTGCATTACACACAGCCATGGTTGCTGTGGGATTTAGGAAGTTTTAGTCTGAAAAGTGACTTTTCCAAGCTCTGGCAAAAGAGAGAAAGGCAGGGTGGGACCGTGAAGATTGCTTTCGTTTATTCTCCCAAAGAAATGGGTGATTCTTCAAGTGCATCCAGACCATCACTCTTGAACCTTTCCAGTTCAAATATTTTGTCTCTTGTAGTGTTGCTATTAAAGTTCGCCCATTTCTCATTCTTCCATGTGTCTCTGCTCATAACATGCTTCTTTCTCCCAGAATTTCAGGAATTGTGGATTTGTTTTCTTAAAAGAATGCTGAATTCTCATGTACTGAGTCGAAGAGTTCTGTATACTGTAAAACAAAAAAGTCAAAAACAACAGCAACAAAAAAGAGTGGCTCTAGAGACAGGATTGTGAAAACAACTAGTCTTCGGGTCTGCAGAAAGAAACTAGCAGATGGCTATGATGAATGAATGGGTGCCAAGTCCAGCTGGACAAATCAAATTTAAAAAGCTGGGATCATGGAACTGGGAGGAGCAGGACACCCACTGGGGAGGGGAGCAGTCTGTTTCTGCTGTCCTGTCCAGTTGAGCCACAGGAAGCCTGGCTTCTCTTTTGATGAAAGAAATTGCAGTTCTATTGAGCTCAGGGGGGATGGATGACCTTGAAGTTAGACAGCAGTCCTATGAAGGACCACAGCTCATAGTAAAAAATGCCACCTACTGAGTTAAAAGGGGAAAAAAACACGGGCCAGAATCCTATTAGTGTTTGCACAAGGTTTTGTGTTGCTTGCTTTGGGTAATTGCAGTAAATCAATGAGATGTCAAAGTGTATCTTCCTTGTGTGTATGCTCAGTTATGCCCTAGCATCTCAGCAGTTAACCACAGCACATTGTTCAAATTCCACATAAACACCAATTGCCCTTAGATTTGCCATGCTGCCATGAAAGTCATGCTTGGTACTTTCCAAGGTGAAATGCATCCCAGGGTCCACATATTATGGTCTGCCAGTGCGGGAAATGGTCCTTGTCTTCCTTTTCAGTTTTGGCCAGGCAGGAAAAGCCTCTGATAGGCTGCCACATGTGGCCTGTAAATGGTGGTTTGCTGGTTGTGTAGTCTCAACAGGCATGCCGTATTTAGACTGGGTAGCTCTTCATGTATAGAATTCCTTTATGTGACCATCTTTCAAGCAGAGCTGTAAAGCAGGATGCAAGGCCAACCTGATCCTGTACATTGTGTTCATATGTGCATGAGCACAGTATCCCAGGCAACATAATGGTATCCCTAGAACATTTCACATGCTGATACTGTGGGCAGATGTTTGAGAAATGTAGATTGTGGAGTGATTCTGTGAGCCTCTGAAACACAGCATGCATGTCTTCTGAATGAATTGTTCCATCATGTTTACATTTTCACTGCACTCTTTGCCTGGGCAGCAAGTCTGTGCTTCTGTTTTCTTTTATTATCATCATCGTCATCATGGTTACCATCCTCATTTTTTTTCAACCTTTGTTTTTCTCCCACTTTGTTTTCCCTCACAGATAAAAGATTTGTAAACGAACCCAAAAGTCACCGTAAGTCTTCCATTTCATGACCATTTTCTTTCATTGTTTTATATGCATTCAAAATCTTGCTTTCGTTCACCTTGGTTTGGTTTGCTGCTTCTCCTTCGTGTTAAAACTACTTTTTCTTGGAGAAGGTGATCTCTCTGCAGGTTTAGCAAGGAGCCCATTGCCAGGTCTGATGAAGTTTGTGAAGACATGCAGGTTTGCTTTGTGCAGCAGAGGCAAAACCCACTCAATTACTGATGTAGTCGTTGGAGCAGCTGTTGAAATTAGAGCTTCCCTGCATCTATATTAGGGGGGGGGCGGGGCGGAGAAGATAGAGATACTCTTTTTTGTTGTCATTTTTGCCTCAGGAAGAGCATTGCTTTTCCTCCTCACTTTCCTCCTCTCACCTAGTAATAAATTGTTGGTCATTTTCCACCCATTGGTATTTAATATAGGTGGAACAGTAATGGTTTTGCTGTCATCCAGAAAACGGAGACTGTGTATATCATACACTCCACTCCCCTTTCTTGGAACTACTGGTTGGAGATAAAACATGGTCGGATGTGCTATGTGGGAATGCAGCATAAAAGGCCGTGGATGATTCTTCATCAGAAATATTCTGTGCACAATATTTAAAGGGGGGGTATGGCTTTCTTTGGTTTGAGGCTTCTTATTCATCAATGCATATTGAAAAATCAACAAAGCAATAACAAGGATGACAAAATAAACGTCACTCCACCCACACTGTGATTTAAAAAAAAAAAAGCTTTGCATCTTATTGCTCTTTTAAATTAGCTTGGCGACTCTCTCTCTGAATTCTCCTCATGCCCAGAACTTCATGCCAGAACACAGGGCGTATCCTCTTTCTTTACTGCTCCTTTCAGATCCCATCAGAACCACCTGTTTCCCATGAAGATTGAGGCTTTACTTCAACACCTTAATATTTTTT